GAAAACTAGTTTGAGAAAAAAAAAAAATGCAAATTCTGATTAATCTATGTTCACATTTGAAAAATACTTTATTTTCTCCTAAATTCCACTGCATCTTTTCCTAAATTCCATAGCACAGTATAAAGTGTATCTATTTCTGCTACCTGTTTTATGTTTTAAAGTATGATTCTACAAAACATACAAAAGCTAATAATATTTTAGAAGCTGAAAAAAAGGAACCCTCGAACGACATATTTGTCGTACTTGTCGCATTTTTTTCACCGCTTTGCTCGTTCAAAGTCTCTACTTTCTTTCAGTCCGGCAGCTTCAGTGTTTAAAATCATTTTGTGCCCTCTAGTGGCAGCCCTGCCACGAATCCTGAGCTGCTGCTCCAGGAGGACCGGCATATCACAGTTAAAGGTGGTGTAGACCTGGAAGAAAAACAGTTCATTACCCTTTTAAGTTAAATTTATTATCTCTATATATATTTTAGTCGTAAAAACAAAAAATACAGTAATTTCTTGTTGTGATGAGAAAACACAACAAAATCAAGCAAAAAACAAACCAGCAAAACAAAATTATCTAGAGATAAAACACAGATAGCAACAACAACAGCAAAACAAAATTCAGGTTGGACATTAGGAAAAAGTTACTTCCTGTGAGGGTGGTGAGATGCTGGAACAGGTTTCCCAGGGAAGCTGTGGATGGCCCCTGCCTGGAGGTGTTCAAGACCAGGTTGGATGGGCCCTTGAGCAACCTGCCCATGGAAGGGGGGTTGGAACTAGATGATCTTTAAGGTCCTTTTCAATGCAAACCATTCTATGATTCTATGATTTATACGATTCTATGAAAATCACAGACTGAGTAAGCATTTGATTGAGTTTGCTTCTAGAAACTACATTGATGAAACCTGGCCTATTTATAGCCATTTCTTTGCACAAAACACTATTCAGTGTGTTTCCTATTAGGACATTATTCAACATTATCCAACATACACAGTTATTCCAGAGTCAACAAAGGGATAACATCATAATGAAAAGTGCCACCAGAGCTTAATCTTTTTTCTTGGAAAATCATATTGGTTTTCTTACTAAAGCAAGAAAAGTGATAGCATAGATAGAGGATAATTAACAAAATAAAGAAGAAGATTTGGGGGCTTAAATTAAAAGTTACATAGGGGATGATGCACTTGTATTACTTTTTGTTTCAGAGCTTTCGCTCATTCACTTTTTCCTAATTCAAGATAGCATAAAATCCTTACATTTTCTCAAAAATGTTCCAAATTTTTTTATTTTAACCTTTTGAACCTGAGTGGAAAACTAAATCCTGCTGCTTTCAAAAAGCTCTTTCAGCATATATTATTGGAGGTCATGAGACGCCTGACTCCAGATTAAAACAATGAGATATCCCATACATAGACATCAGTAGGCATTTGGGTTTAGCTGGCTTTCAGTTTCACCTCTCAAATTACAAATTCAGAGGAACATGTCAAATAATAAACATTTTCACTGAATTATAAGTTATCGGCCATAATAGGATTAGAAGAACATTCACTTTGACTCTGAAAATTCAAATCTCAGTGAAGGTGGCAGAAATGCTTTGTGCAGTGAAAATGCTGTAAGACAGTATGTGCTCCTCTTTTTCCAAAGTCCTTGACTTTGCTAGCCTGAACAACAAGAACAAAGTTCAGTCAAAGCTCTTCTTGGCATTGTTGATGGTTACCAAGAGCCCGAGAAGCTGGCTTCTTCTAACCCTTTAAAAATCTTCTTTAGGGTTGATTCTAATTTTGCAGGTTGTTTTTCTTGAAAATAACTGTCAAGTTCTTAAAAATGTTAATTTTTACATCTGCAGTACAGTGCCCACACACAGTAGATTAGATTTGGCTCACTGGTGGGAGATAGTTGGAAAACACTATTTACAACCTCAGTATTGTTAGAAATTGTCTTTGCAGTTTTGTCCACTACGGAACTAATCTAACACACTTTTTCCTTTCATAATTTTTGCTTTTTGGTAGCATTAGTGTCTGAAAAACCATGACCCTGTTTCACAGACTAAATTCTTGTTTTCAGATCTCAAGACAAAACTGGAAGATTTTGGAATATAACTACACTAGTTTCACTTGTTTAAGAAATATTATTTTCTTTAGCATTACACATCTAATGCCTTCAAATTCTCCTGGTGGCAGTTGTACCTGTTGAACTTGCCCCCTTCGCTTTTGTCCATTTGAGATGCAAATACTGAGCAAATACTTAGACAGGAAACATCAGCTCTAATGCACTCCAGGAGGCAGAGAGAAGAAGGCACAAATAAGGTGCCAGGGCAAACTGCATGTGGCAGAAAAGACCCACTACTGTGTTGAAGGCAGACCGTGACTGCACTCCAGCTGCAGCAGCACAACACTGGCAATCACTAGCCTTGATGGAGAAAGATCTTTGGCAGTTCTAAGACCACTGACAGATGCTGATGCAGAGCCTGAGAAGTTCCTCAGAGCCCACTGGGGGGTTGTAATCATGACCAGGCCAGGCAAGCGTGTTTCCACCAGTACCAAGTGAGCTGGTGGGGAAATCCATCAGTTTTGATGAAGAGCTGCCTGCTGGCTGCTGAGGAGCTGGTCATGTGGTGAACTGTGTGGTTCTTCGGGAACTATTGATATTGGCTAATTAAAATAGAGTTCCAGAGTTAACAATAAAGGAATCTGGAGTTAACATGCTAGGCTGGGGAGAGCTGATCTATTCCCAAAATGTATACAAGCCAAGAAACAGTAACAGAAAAGTTATGTGATGCTATGTGCACTAACAGTGGAAAAATGAAGGTCAGACAAAGAGTCCGAACACAAGCAAAACCCAGGTGTCAAGCACTAAAAACAGCAGTAAAAGGCATTAGAGGGTCTTGTGGCTTTTCTGCAAATTGCCCCCAAGTGAAGACAAAGTATTTGTCACAAGGACCTTTGAAAAGCAACAGGTACTTGAAACTACATCAAACAAAGTGGCAAGAACTGCTTATTCGGCAGGATGCTGGTGGGAAAGCATGAGGAACTGGGGACTAACAGGCACCTTCTCTGGAGAACCTCTGATTATTTGTGATGAGGGAGAAATCTTGAGAGAAACTTGTATCCAAAGAGAGCTAAAAGATCATTTGTGGGATGGGATCTATGTCATTAGGCAACACAGGACCTGGTGCTGTGGGAGTTACACACGACTCGATTACACACGATCCACACCTAAAACGCTTTCCTAGCCCTAACCTTACTTGCTCAGCCGCGGAAGGGCCTCCAGAAGCCGCGCAGCCCCTCGCGCGTCCATCCCCCCGCCGGGCAGGGGGGCACGGCAGCATCGTCCTGCCCTGCCCACCCCCGGGGAACCTGCAAGGAAAACCGGGCACCCCAGGAGGCACACAAGCCTCTGGGCCAAACCTTGAGAAGCGCTGAAACACCCGTCAGGAGGGCCAGGGGGAACGGCTGTGTGCTGGTGCCGCGGAGATCTGGTCGGCTCATCAGAAACCAGTCGAGGGACAGAAAGGATGGGCAGGTGTCACCACCTGTGAAACCAGGTAGGAAACTGTCAAAGCGGGGCCGCCCGGAGGCGCCACCGG